GGCTTTATCAAGTGTTTGAAATGTAGTGTTTGTGTTTGATGTAAAATTGAAGAAGTTCCCTGCAGTTGATTTAGAGAGTGTTGCCTGCCAAAGTATCTGTTTTCTATGCCCAAGACTTGGAAAAAATGTAGCTGACACGAAATAATGCAAGAGCTAAGGTTTTTTTTGGACAGGAATAAAACCAACCCAGATATAAGCTATGCTGCCATGTCCTGTAGTCCAGGCATTTTCAGTGAGTTATTTAATTGCATGTCTGTATTGTGGCCTGAGGATGATTATAAAATATCATTGTTTGGTCTGTACTGTCATATGCTTTGGCCAGGCAGCAGTCAAACATTTTTGAATTCATAAAAGTTGGTGGAAGGGTTTTTTGTTTTTTTTTTTTTTAAGAGAACATTTCTGCAATGGCAAAGTCATCTTGCAGACTCTCTTGTGCTTGCAGAAGAAATAATTAAAAAAAAATATATCCGATGCAGTATGTGCTGAATGGTTATAGTGCATACTACCAAAATAGCTGTCAATATAAGCTGTAAATCTGCGTTAGGAGGTTTTCTGCATGAGCCTGAGCCTTAGCCATCTCTCTTGCTGTGACAGAAGCAGTAAATTAGTTCATAATTTACCTGAATTCGCACAAGCACACTACCCTGGCACCCTACCCAAGGCAGTTTGCCTTGGCACTGTTTTAAATTTACAATTCTGATGGTTACTGCAATATGTTGGATCTTATATCCTTATGTACATCATACCCCTGTGGTCCGCTGTGAATTGTCAGGCTCTGATTGAGTAGGAGTTTGGGGAGGTCTCTCTGCAGGCTGGGAACACTGTGCAGAACTGTCTACTTTCAGATTTTCTTCACCAATATGTTCTTGTTGGTTTATTCTTACTAAGAGTTTCGGCATTTTAGAAGTTATACCCAGTAAGGAAAAGGGCAATAGGGAACGGGGTGTTCGTGATCTCCTGACTTCCCTCCTGTCAGAGCCACAGAAATACCCCCAGCCCCAGGCCTGGAAATGGTCAGTAGATGTGATATCCCAGTACAGCAAAGTACGCGTTGAAGAATTGACTTATCTTTATGTAATATCCTACTTAGCATTAAGGTGCCTACTGGAATGTAAAACAAAATGTTTCCTCTGCAGAATTTCTGCTGACATATATGGAAAAATCGTACTAGGACTGCACTGGCCATATTTTCAACTGACTTAACAATTGCATATTTATTGATTAGGTACGCCATTCAGTAGGAAATGTTCAATAGCAGCAAGTATTATTTTATTTTTAGATTTTCATTTAGGCCCTATCCTGGCAGCACTGATTGCTTGCTAGGAAGACATAGACTTTTAATCTGATCATGCATGTCACATGTAGATTTGAGATGTTCTTTCCTCAAAACCAAAATTTCAGAGAAGAGAATGAAAAGATGCACTAAATATCTTTGAAGTAGGCAAATATTTTTACATGGGAAAATTTAAATTGATAAGGGTGATAAACTTGTGATTGTTCTGTTTATTCATCTTGCAGTAAGATTTCATACTTGGGCACCTCTTTCTCTCTGAAATTTTCTTGTCTCCCCACTGAGTTGCAGGGCAAATCCTAATCTTCTTACATCAGTTTGGCCCTACTGAAAGTCAGGCACAAGCAATTCTGGCTTTGCAGCAGTAGACTGAAGAGAAGTGTTCAGACCAGGAATTAAGAAAAAAAAATAGCCCGATGTTTTTATTGAAGAGCAGCAGCTATGTATGCTTCACTTTGCAGGACAGAGGATCTAAAAGAAGCCCTTTGGGACAAAAATTTATTTTCCATCATATGTGTGCGTATATATACATGTATATATATATATATATAGGTACATGGATATTGGTATTCCTCATCTGGAGGTAATTTCTTTGCCTTTCTTTCTGATGCCACCTCTGCTAATATTACTTGCAATGTACATGTAGAAGAGAGCAGGCCCCAGAGACATCCAATTAATTAAGACTTTGCTGCTCAGCATCAGTAATGACTTATGAGTGAGGTGATACATGAAGTAGATTGATTTTTTACGCACGAAGAGTAACACAGTTTTGTGTTAACTAGAGAACAGAGCCTGACCTTGCATCAGGTGAGGAATAGAGCGTATGGATATGACTGCTTGTTAGATGGAATTTGTAGAGATAAAGTCTTGAAATTGTTTGCATATTGGATATTTTGATAACACTGCAGTGGCACTAGTTGGTAATCATCATGTAGAAGCAATGCAGATGAATAAGCGTGTAATACAGAGCCTAAAACAGTAGCTGTATATGGCTTAAGAAAGCAAAGATGAAACATGGAGATGTTGGGCTATCAAGTGGGTATTTTCAAGAGACAGATAGCAATGAGAGCCTGTAATATGTAAAACCAACTTAGATAATTTTGTTTGTTCTTGATACAATCTTGTATGAAAAAAACCTACAAAATCTTTCGGGGACTAAATATAATGAAACTGTTGTATGCTCCTAGATGACCTCGGTTAGCTATGAATGTTTCACATCACCACCCTCTTTCCAGCACCAGTATGTCTTTTCCCTTCAGCCTACCTAGAAAGAGTGCTTAAAAGTCAGTCAGGAGCTAATCTGGTCATTAACTTCCATGTCTGCAATTGCAGGGAGCTGTATAATCATTAGCTGGTTTAAAACACCACATGGATCATGTATTTCACATCTCACTTCAGGCAGCAAAGTCTCAACACCTGTTTGCAAACTCCTACATAAAAGATCAAACCAGTATTTTGCTATGGGACGAGATAGGGATGCTCAGGGCTCTGTGTATGTCCTCTATACCTATGCCAGCAGAGTTTCTGTTAAGGAAATCACCAGATGGTCCCCAGAAATAGATTGTGCTACTGGGAAGTAGAAGGGAAGGCCTCAAATTGAAGTGTGGAGGAGGGTCTTCCTTCTAACTCCAAATCTCATGGTTGATATGTACAAGCGGGACACACCAGCCAAGCGCTTGAGAATGTAGTGTGTATCATGGGTGCAAGTGTGTGGTAGTTTTGGATCCAGTAAGTACCATGTCTGACTCTTGTAATCGCTATGAGGACTTGAAGGGGTTGTATAAAACTGAAAGCAACATTTTATTTCCTAGTGTCTCCTACACTGCATGTTTGCATTGTCAGATGCAGACAATCACGTCTGCTCTTCCTGAACTCTCAAAACAGCCAGATGTGAGTAAACGCTATCCTGGAAGCTCTGTAGCTTCCAAATGACACTTGAATTGGGCCCATTAGCTGGCAGAGGGATGACTGGTGTGCAGTCGGCCAAGTTGGAGAATGCACCAGATAGATAGCTGGGTTACAGTCTTCATTTAATTGAAGACATGCACATTTTAAACAGCCTCATAATCTCTTGCCATTTTTCCTATTAAAATACACCTTCCACCTTTCAAAATACTCGTTTCAAAGCTTGGCCAAACCCATGCTGCCAACCTAGTGCAGTGCGGAATTTTGTCTTAGTAGAAGCTTGGGAAGCTCAGGTGAAATCTCACCCGAGTACTTATGCTGTGTTGGGCAATGGTGAAAATGTGAATATCCAAAGTGAGACCATCATCAGCCAGAGTGGAAGGATGAACCTGTTACTTAGAGAAGAGAGGGAACCTTAGTGCTGTGTATGCAAAACTTTCAGCAGTTAACCCTGTTAGAGTGGTGCCAAGGGTTGCGATTCTGGGATATTTTACTAGGACTGAAAGGTCTTCTGACTACCTTCCTCTGCCCACCATCATTACCACTATATTACTCAGCTTCATTAATTCTGGTTCAGTCCTGCTGAAGATAAATCTTGATGTCAAGATGCAATAAGTCATTTTCTGAGCCACATTGGAAGAGATGGATAGAGCCCTTACTGCCATTTGTATAGTGCCTATTTTAGACTCTCTGGTGCTTATTGTCAAACATAGGAACTTAGACGTACAGAACTTGCTTGTTTCAGGAGCTACATGCTGCTGTCGTAGGATTGCACTGAGTGCAGTGCTGTGTTATGTGCTTCACCTAGAAGCTGGTCCTTCCAGCATGTCATCATTTTGTGGATGAATCTTTAGAACTTCATCTCTTTTTCCAGAATTTCTGAGTGGATTGTTGGTTTCAGTGGGTCTGTAACTGGAAACACTGGCCTTGAGGTATGATCCTGTCATGGTTTTCCAAGCAGTTGGCAGTCATGCTTAAACTAGGCATGTGCCGATTGCCGTGCCCAGCCATGGGCTGCAAGGGCGACTCTTTGGAGAGCTCCGGGTTTTCTGGTGCAGGTGCTCTGCATTTATTGAGGTCTGTGAGATTAGTTTGTCTAAGGGGCAAATTGCAAGAGATGCTCAGTAAAATGTCATATATGCAGCAGGATGGGGGTTCCCAGAAAGCATATGAGGGAAGTTTTATATACCACTAGGACTACAAAAACCCTTCGCTTATTTTGTGTCTGGTTGGCAGAGATTTGAACAAGCTTGAGAGTGGAGATCTGTTTGTGTAAGAGAAAATTGTTAAAATCTGATATGTTTAATCTCTATATGGAATCTTATTCTGTTCAGTTGTTCTGATTAAAACTGACATCTACTATTGACCTCCAAGTGAGCCAGAATCTAAAATTCTCCTCACCATTATATCACTGTGTCTTTTATTTAGTTAAATGGTTGAAATTCTTTGTAAAGCATAAGTTTCAGAGGGAAAAATCATAAAATGAGAAAAGATAAATTTTGAAAAATGTAGAATAACTACCTTTACTCTAAATGTGAACTTAGCATTTATTGGTCTTTTATAATATATTAGCACATTGGTGAACTTTTTAATAACCTGTAACAGAACATATGTCTCAGATTTGTCTATATGCAAAACCTTGTGGGTAGGACTTGTGAACTGCAATATAAAGAATCTCCAGATGTATGCATTATTCCTTATTAACATACACAGTGAATTTTGTGGGAAGTAGATGACATTTAAGTGATAACACAGATGTTGCTTTTCTCCAATGCTAATAATGCCAATAATTTTCTCTCAACAGAGGAATTCAAGGGCTCCACAATAGTTGAGTTAATGAAGAAAGAAGGCACCACGCTGGGGCTCACGGTATCCGGTGGGATTGACAAGGATGGGAAACCCAGAGTGTCTAACCTTCGCCAAGGAGGAATTGCTGCTAGGTAAGCACATCTCCAGTCCCAAAATGTGTTATACTGCGCCATCACTTCAGAAATACATCCTACTTCAGAGGGCAATAGGAAATATTTCACTAGGAAATATTTCACTAGGAAATATTTGACTGGAAGTATCTGTAAGTAGCAGCCCGTCAGACCACAGAAGCTCAGAGAGAAACATTGCAACAGCAGCTGGTCCACCTCTTCCCTTGAGGCTACTTTGATAGATTATAGAAATGCTGGTAGAAAATTTGCAAATTGTATTAAGAACAAATAAGCTTCTTCTAAGTGATTTAAATTTCATTTCAATTTTTTTTTTCTTGAGCAAAATCTTAAGAAAAGAATACAGAGCAGAAAAGTAAAATGGGAAACCTAACCATAATAATATCACATTTTTATTTTAAAAAATCCATTAACTATTTTTAAAACAAAGTCTAAATTTGTAGTTACTTTGCTTACTCTGCCAGTGGGAACTGGAAAGCTATTAGTGTGAAGGAAATAGGCCAAGAGATGAAGATTAAACCAAATCATTCCAAGTAACTGAGCGGAACATATGATTTGGGGCTGTGGCCTGTCTTCTGTTGCTGTCGTGTTAGATGGGAAGGCAACCATTGCCTAGAAAATAGTTCTGGTGGCATCCCAAAAAGAGAAAGAGGGAGAAAGGTGAAGACATGAAAAAGTTTGCCCTGCTTCTGTGCCCAAACCAGTCAAATCATCCAAACTATATATGTTGTATATAGTATATATAGTAATATGGTATATATACAACATATATGTATATATGTTGTAGATCAACTTGTTCTAATTTGGATGATTATTAAAAAATATTTCTTGTCATCATTAACATGTAAAGATTCTATTTTGCTAGTCCAGTAGATTTGTATTTAACAAAAAAAAGAAGGAAAATTTACCTTTTCCTAGGAGTGACCAGCTGGATGTAGGTGATTACATCAAATCTGTGAATGGAATCAACCTCACCAAATTTCGTCATGATGAGATCATCAGCCTGCTCAAAAACGTTGGCGAGAGGGTTGTTCTGGAAGTGGAATATGAGCTCCCTCCAGTCTGTAAGTAATAGTGCAGCAAACTGAAATCTATGCAGAGTGGCAGCTTTATGTTATCAGCAATAAGATGGGAGTGGCTGTCCGAGGCAGCAGAATCCTTCTTACTATTTAAGTTTAATGCTGCCTGTGAGTTCTACCTCTGCCTTAGCCTTCCTCCTTCCTCTTCACCCTCTGTCATTTTTCCAGTGTTATCTAGGATGAATTTCAAGCCATATCTCATTCCTAAAGCAGGAGATACAGTGGGGTGGGCTCTGACTTTTGTAAAACTAGAAAAATTATGTAGCTCATACAAGGGCCTCTCAATGAGCAGGCTTTTCTTCAAGATACAATTTTAGACTGACACCAGAGTCACACACTGCTACTAAATGTTTCCCTCACCCCTTCGTTTTGCCCATTCACTCCGCGCTTTTCTTCTGTGTTCAAGTGTCTGTCAGTGTGTCGGCGTAGGAGCAAATCAGAGGGAATTTAGCTGGCAGCTATGAAGTGAAAGCTAGACTAACAATGAGTTGGAAAACTGGAGCCAAAAGTTAAGAAGAAAGGTGTTTCCCTGACTGTTGGTGCTGTACCAGCCACTTCTTCAAAGACTAAATGCTCTAACTCTTCCTTATGCTGCTCACTAGAGGGAAGAAGATGTGGTGCCCAGTGATATTTTCCAGAAAAAATGCAAAATCAGCTAGGAAGCTCTTATCTCCTTAAATAAAATCTTTCATCACAATAGGAGCCAAATGGCCCATCCATCTCTTCATATTTCCCAGCACGATGTTCAGGAGAACAGGATGAACTCCCCACTGTTTCCTAGCAGCTGGAAAGTTAGTCTAATTACATATTTTGTTGCTTTTATGACCTTCTGACAACTGCTGTAATATGTTTGGGATGTTATTTGCTGATTAATGTTTGCTTGTGGTAAGGGAACTGCATGTACCAAACTGCAATATTTGAGTAAATAAAGTCAGTTGGGTTCAGAATTATTTTAATACAGATGTAGTTGTTTTACTAGAATTATTTTCTTTACACTTAATCAAGAATGCTTTCTTCTGCCTCACCACTGTTGGCATATGTTGCACTCTTGTCAACTGAAATAGGTTTTTGACAGGCTAGATTATGATAAGTCATAACCATTTATTAAGCTGCTTGGAATTTCTGACCTTTTTCTGCAAGCATATCTAATAATGTTGATTAAAAACAGTGCAGATGTTCCCATTAACTTCAAATGGACGCTGTAAACACAGGTTCTTGTAATACCTAGAAGTGCTTCAGTATGTCATGTTGCAGTGTCTTGGCATCTCCTACCCTGCTCCATGCCTGATGTAATTCTACTGTTGTTCTCACAGAAGCCTCCGCAGAGAGAGGAGAACTGAAGTTTCAGAGTGGGGAAATGGCAGTAAATTTAATAAGTTAATAATTTAAATCTGGCTGAGAGACAGTAATCTCACTCTCCTGAGTATTTCCTAATCTATCTGACAGTGTTCACAGAAGAAAGAGCATCTAACTTCTGTTTCAACATGAGCCACTTTGACATTGCTAACTAAAACATGAGCCGTATCTCCACTGCATCTGACTCCTCAGGTTGCTCGTGGTGGAGGACATCTGTCACCTTCCAAGGAGTAGTACAGCTGGCTGAATCTTCTTTTGCCCAAATGGATGGCATTCAGGACCACAATATTCCCATGTCCCACAAGGACATGTGCCTTCCTGGCTGTGTAATATGTGTTGTCCATCGCTCAGTGGGTATCGTACCAGGGACTGGGAAAGCTGTGGCTATAGCAGGCAGGAGCTTTAAAGAACATAAGTCTTCATTAGCTCTGTTGCTCACGTAATGTATGTTTTAGACATGTTTTTAATGTGTTGCCATGTTTTTGGTGTCTTGCTTTCCAGTAAGACACTAAGCTTAGAAGTGTGTGTGTGTGTGTATGATCTTACCCAGTGTCTTTTCCCCTTTGGAAAAGTGAGCTATTACACTCTGCCAAGCTTTTTCTGTAAAAGCTAACAGTAAATTAACTGCTGGTTTCTTAACAGCAGTATTTTCAGATACCATAAAATGTGTTTTTCTAGCCAAATGTGTTGGCTTGCACATTAGGCTGCTCAGCTCCTAGCTCACTTCTCTATTGCTGACAGACAAAATCTTACTCCGCTGGAAGCCAAAGATCTTTTAAGCTAATTTACTATTGATGAGAAAGTCTATTGTGTTTTAAAAGGGGAAAAAAAAAAAAACAAATGATACCAAATACTGTTTTTCATCTTAATCTAGCAATGTGAAATTAGGTACACACACATTAAAAATCTTGACTGTCTGGACTTTAAGCATTATAAATACACATTTTCATGTCCAAACAGTCAATCCCATGGGTATCTTTAAGATTTTGTCATTTTTCTCTCTGTGTATTTCTACCTTGCATACTTTCCTGTGTTTTTCTGAAACTCTATGAAAAATAAAATTATGCAAATATGTAAACAATAAGGCTGCAATTTCTGAGCTGCTCTAGGATTCTATAGCTGCTTTTTGAAATACTGGCAATCTGCTATTTACATCTGCAAAATATCTGACAGAAAATTCTCTCAAAAAGAACATGAGCTGGAGTTAATTACAGATCTTTTATATGACTGTTCTGTTGTGGATTCTTTCCAATTATTTGACCAGGAATACAATATCTGGCTTGTTTTTAGAAATGGTACAAATCTTTGCATGTAATTAGAAAAATAACAATAATTGGAGTATTTTTTTTTTGTTTTAATTTTTAGCCGTACAAGGATCAGGTGTCATCTTTAGAACTGTGGAAGTTACTTTACATAAAGAGGGGAACACTTTTGGATTTGTAATACGAGGTGAGTTATCATTAAATGTCAAGAGTCTGTATTTCTAGATCAGCAGCCGAAGTGATAAATTTTTATGGTTCTAAAAAATAATATTTCAAGATTTATGGCTTGCAAACTGTAAAAAAAAAAAGCCTATGATTTATGTGTTCTGTACGTTAATGTGCTGCTTTTATGAATTGCTTTAATTTTTCTTTATGGGACACTGGTAATTAATCCACCATGCAAAAATGTAACAAAATTATTTTTTTGTAGCACCAGATTCTGCTGCCACTGAGGTCAACATGAAGTTGTTGTATTCAGTGGCGTTGGCGTTGCACATATAGCATTTGGATAAATTAAATATTGAAATTTGATTTATAGTTTAATAATGCTGACAGTCAGAATTGCAGAACAAAAGTATTAATGCTGATTTAGAGAACAGAAGAAAACATGCAGCTGTTAAATTATATACCCAGGCGATGAATTATAGGAAGTACATTAGGTTCTTTAGGGAAAACTGTATTGTTTTATTTAATATATAAATTCTCTAGTGGTCACTCATTATTCTGAGAATAGACAAAATGCAGTGCTTTTTTGTTGCTCTGCAACAAACATTGCTGGGTAAGTTTTCTCAATGAGATTAGAGATGTTCTAAGAAAGGAACACATCTTTTATAAGTATTACTCTGTAGAAACCTTATGTTAGGAATCACCTATACAACACAGGTCAAATTATGTCAAATATAAATAAATGGAAGTTACTTTTAGTGTCTAGATGCTTTTTTTTGGTCTTTTTTAGCCCATCCATAAGTGTACATGCTGCAAGCTTTAGACTTTTCTCTTGGAAATGTGCTTTCATAAAAAGCATAAAGTGAAAATGTGCTTTATTTCACTTTTCCTTTTCTAGGTGGAGCCCATGATGACAGAAATAAATCCCGTCCCGTTGTAATAACATGTGTTAGACCTGGAGGGCCTGCTGACAGGTATAATCTATCTTTTTTTTTCTGTAATGCAAATGAAAGAGAAGTGGAGAAAAGTGAATAAATGGGGATAGTAGTTAAGATTTGGAGTGAAGTAGCTCTATTCAATCTATTCAAACCTATTTGTTTGAAATTCATGGTTTAGGCATTTAATTGTACTAATAATAACTGTAATTAATATGCAACCATAGACACTCATTGCATCATGATTTGGAGTGAATTTTAATTAACAAAGTTACATACTTCAAGACTGTCCATTAGGAACTTCAAAAAAAATCCCAAATAATTAAAATATGAGCAATCTATGTAATAGATCAGAGCATAATTTTTGTGGCTTTTAGGCAGGCAATATGGCTTTTTCTTACACTGTTTATACTTTTTCTGTCTTGAAGACAAATGGTGTTGTGTTGTTGTTTTAAAACATTTGTTCATGTCTCCTTGTGAGTTCACATCCAACTTCCCCCAACAACTTCTGTGTATAGATTTATGATTGGGTCAATGAACATGCTTTTATGTATTAGCATCTTGTATATGTATAAATAAAGAATGTTCAATGAATGTGAGTTATATTTTCAAAATGATATTTCAGTCCTTAAATTGCTGAAAAAAAAAACTTAAAAAAACAATTTCTCTGACATAAACTGTTTTTCTCCAGCTTATGGCATTTCTGTCTTTGGCTGCCTTAATGGAAAAGCAAATGTTCCACACAGCTTTTTCCTTCTGTCTCTCCCCTTTTTTTCCCCATCCTCCTTCTCTCCTTGATTTTCTTCCTGGTGTTTGAGTTGGCAATGTTAGCACTTTGTTTTCTATTTTAATTCTGACTGTCTTATGAGATACATCTAGGAGACTGTGCATTTGTAGCCAACTTGCTTTCAGATAAAAGAAAGGAAAAAGGGAGTTCTGCAAGTAAGGGATATTTTGAAGAAAAACAGTAAATGGTCATTCATAATTAGCTATCTGTTTCTTCACCCCATCTGTTCTATCTCCTATTTGTTTTTAAGAAAATACTTGTCTGGATGGAGGTCTGTTCGTGTATGTGAAAGAGGAGGTGTGTGTGTGTGTTTGAGAGGGCAGAAGCAAAACGTATGTTGCAGCAGAAGCTATACCTAGTTGTGATTTAACATGACTTGATTATTTAGCTGTGTTACGCTGTTTACCAATCACTGACTTTCCAATTAAAGCAATTTCCTTTGTACCATGCCCTCTGAATTTTCCAGTGTCAATGTAAATGTTAAGTTAAGAAGAAGAGGCTGCAGGTAGAGTGTGAGAAAATGACTTGGCATACATGGTATTATCTGCAAGTCACTTTATCTTACATTAATGAAGATCATTCCTTTAATCTTCCTTCAGAGAGGGCACAATCAAACCTGGAGACAGGTTGCTGAGTGTTGATGGCATCCGACTCCTTGGGACAACACATGCGGAAGCGATGAGTATTCTCAAGCAATGTGGACAGGAGGCAACTCTGCTGGTTGAATATGATGTCTCAGTGATGGGTATGTTGAAAAGTGGAGCTTTAGTTCGGGATACTATCTGTGAGGTTTTGCTGTCCATTTCTGATAAACTGCTTTATAAGGGATCATGACCTGTTATGCTCCTGGTAACACCAATATTCTCATCCTCACCATATCATTAATCTTCTTAGGTTCATAAAGAGGTGAGCAGTATTTTACTGCAATTTAGCATCCTGACATTTCATGGTTTGTGGCGTGAAACAATCCTGTGGGTTCTACCAAAGTAACTTTTCCAGTCACTAGTTTGCAATAAAGGTTAATGAAGTGTAAGCATTTCTGTGTCACCTGAAAGAGAGGTTTACTTGCTCTAAGAGGAATCCTTATGTCTTATACCAATGCAGCTAGGTAGCTAAGCCATTATAAAATGTCGTAAAACTGCCACATCAAAAAGAGTGAGGAGGATAAAGGGTATTAAGAAATTAAAAGGTGACAAACCGTGGCTTTAAAAAAATAGACATTATATAAACTTCAGTTGAACTCCCGGAAGACACTGGAAGATTTTTGGAAAGTCGAGCAGAGCAGATCACAACAGAGTTTCCATTTGCTTTTGGAAGGTGTCCTTCCATTATGGCAGGAAAGTGAAAATTCATGGCAGCAAGAAATAGGAGTGTTCATCAGTCAGACTAACGCATTTGTGTTCGGAGCTCTCTCTCCCGTTATCTTCCCCAGGTTCACAGTCAGATTTCTAGCTCAGCAAGCCCTGCTTAGCCTCTTAGGAACTTGTGAAATAGCACTATCAAACTCCAAAGCCTTGGAAAATATTAACATTAGGTCAGAAACACAAGTCAGAAACTTGTTTATTCTGTAACAACCTTCTGTTTTTCTTCAGGAGATAAGATTTTTTTCTGTTATAACATTCATCTTTGATGGGTTTGCAAGGTTTCTGGCAGGCCTGCTGGACATTCGTATTAAGTCCACGTCCAGAAATGTAGTACCTGCTCAGCATCTGGGCAGGAGCCTCACACATACAAAATGGAAATGAAGGTGGTCACCTAGAATTTAGGTGATTTTATTTCATCTTTTCTTCTTGATGATGTTTGCTGGGCAATTCCTATCTAATATCAAACCTTAAAATAGATTCTTTAAATTCCACTTTCTCTAAGAGAAGTTGGGAGTGTGCTTGTTTAGATTTTACTGGAAAAAAACCCCAACCTGTGTAAGTATATGTATATGTTCATGTATATGTTCATAAGTATATGTATAAGTTCATGAAGGAAGAATGTAGGGAAGAAGGGGCCAAGCTCTTCTCATTGGTGGCCAGTGATAGGACAAGGGCCAATGGATATAAGTTGCAACACAGGCAGTTCCATCTTCAGGTGAGGAAGAACTTCTTTACTGTGAGCACCCCATGCTCTGGGTGTCCCTGCTGGAGCAGGGGGTTGGACTAGATGATCTCTAGAGGTGCCTTCCAACCTTGAACATTCTGTGATTCTGTTATCTCAGAAAAAAACCTGCATCCCCATTCTCCTGTGTACCCAAGGGAGAGAGTTGCTCTTCATTCCAATGAGGATCTTCTAGAAAGGATAAAAGGAGGAGCTGTGGTGCTCTGAACTGTAGGTTTCTCAAGGCAGGAATTATTTTTTTCAAGTTGTATGGAGTGGGCTTATTGCAGGAGGATGCAAATATACCTGGAGCCCATCAGCTTATGACTATATAAGCTGTGCCTTCCAGTTGAACTTCTGATGTAGTCTTCTCTCTGAAAAAAATCTGCTGTCTCCTTTTGGCTCTCTGTATCATGTCTGAATTTATTTTTCCTGCCTTCCTGGCACTGAACCCAGTAGCCTATGGAAGCATCAAACCAAGGAGGTGGAAGAATCCAAGACTTAAGACTTGTATGGTTAGAAGAAAAGAAGGAAAAGGGAATCTAACATTGTGAAATGTGTGAGATGGTGATCCAGTGTTGCCAGTGAGATCAGGAAGATTGCTAGTGATGGTGTAAAAAAATCTTATGGAGAGAGTTGCTTCATTTTTTGCAGTTCCGCTATGAGTAGACCATAGCCAAAAGGCTGAAAATCACTCATCCTAATCTGGTGGTTCTTAGGCCAGGAAAATAATGCTGATTTAGATTTTTGGGTACTTCTCCTCAAGAGCAGTGAAGTCAAAGTTGTGAGCAATATAGAAGGGAGTACGAGTCATAAACAAAAATTTAAGAATTACAAAAATGTCACTGTTAATTGCCACCATAGAGTTGATGAAAATAGCCTGAAACAATAGAAACTGGTAAGGGATAAGCTAATTTATCAGTACGGATGCTTGAAACTACTTTAGTAGCTTAGACTTTTGAGAGTAAGGCAACAATTTGGAAATTTTGAGAAAGTTTGGTCCTTTTTAAAGGATCCTACTGGTATAAACTTTCAGCAAAATGTCTTACCCACAGAGGTGTAATTGTACCATTACTTGCTGTAATATCTTCCCTTCTCTTAGCAGATGGTTATAGCCTATAAGGTAGCATTTCACATGACCAGAATAGGAAAGACCCATAAAATGTATTCTGATAGCATGAAATTGAAAATTAATTTGAAGACATTAAACTAAATGAAGAAAATAATCCTGAACAATTTTTTTCAGCTTTCCGCAGTCTTGTAGAGTAAAACTGACTATTTATACCCTTGTAGGTGTAAGCCATTTCAAAATGCTTTATTTCTCCAAGTTTTGTTCCTTCACCTGACATTTCAAGAGGTCACTTAGGAAACTTGCACATTTTATTGGTTCTGGAACACAGACAAACTAAGATAAAAAAGTCTTAATGGGTTCTGTGCAGGCTACTTAAATATGTATGTAATTTAAGATATGGGACTCGTTACATTAAACTCTCTGGGGTTACACGTGCACTTGCTTAAATACATGCTGAAGTATCAACCCCACATGGGTTCTAGGAAATAAACATGCTAGTTCAGCCTCTTGAAGAGATGTTTTTCTCTAACACTGTAGCTACCCAAATGAATTTCATAACACCTTATTTCACAGAACGCATTAGCAGTGTATCACACTTCCCTAAGGGAATGGGACTTCCCAGTGAGAAATGATATTTCAGGTACAGATGAAAATTCATATGAGAATGAGTTAAGAACATGAAATGAGATGCTAGTAAGTTTTAAACAGTGTCGTACTGCCCCATCTAAAAGGAGCAGTAAAAGTGTTATCATTACATTTATTTGGAACCAGAGAAGAAAGTTTCGTTCAGGTTTTCCAAAAGCTCCCATTGGTGTTTTTTTCACATAGAATCACACACAGAATGTGTGTCTTCCAACAGGCCGAGGATGGAAGAGACCTCTAGACATCATCTAGTCCAACCTTGCTGCTCCAGCAGGGACACCCAGAGCACGGGGCACAGGGCAGCATCCAGGTGGGTTTGGAAGATCTCCAGAGAAGGAGACTCCGCCACCTCTCTGGGCAGCCTGTGCCAGGGCTCTGGCACCCTCACAGTGAAAAAGTTCCTCCTCACATGGAGATGGAACTGCCTGTGTTTCAGCTTGCACCCATTGCCCCTTGTCCTGTCACTGGCCACCACTGAGAATAGCTTGGCCCTTCTTCCCTGCATTCCCCCTTCAGTTACTTGTACATATTAATCATATCTCCTCTCAGCCATCTCTTCTCCAAGCTAAACAGACCCAACTCACTCAATTTCTCCTCATACGAGAGATGTTCCATTCCCTTAATCATCTTTGTTGCCCTTCACTGGACCCTCTCTAGAAGCTCCATGTCCCTCTTATACTGGGGAGCCCAGAACTGCACACAGGTGCACTACTCCAGGTGTGGCCTCACCAGAGCTGAGTAGAGGGGCAGGATCACCTCCCTTGACCTGCTGGCAACATCCTCCTGATGCAGCCAAGATCCCATTGGCCTTCTTGGCCATGAGGCCACACTGCTGACTCATGGCTAACTTAGTGTCAACCAGGACTCCCAGGTCCCTCTCCGCGGAGCTGCTCTCCAGCAGGTTGACCCCTAATCTGTACTGATGCCTGGGGTTATTCCTCCCTAGGTGCAGGACCCTGCACTTGTCCTGGTTGAACCTCATGAGGTTCCGCTCTGCCCAACTCACCAGCCTGTCCAGGTCGCTCTGAATGGCAGCACAGCCCTCCAGAGTGTCAACCACTCCACCCAGTTTGGTATCGTCCACAAACTTGCTCAGGGGAGCAAGTTTTATTGTCTCTGTAGTTGAGGTTGTCTTTGGATTCCAATTTACATGTGTACTTTTGATCAGTAAGTTCTGTATGGGTAGATTTCCATATTTGCTCTGAAATGGAGCATTCAGAAATGTTCAAAGACAGTTGTCACTGAGTTTAAGTTCTGGTCAATAGCATTTTTGTGTAGCTGTAGTTCATATATTGCTGATATGAGGCCTCAAACAATCTACTTCTTTAATTTCAAAGCTTTTGGTAGGATAATCTTTAAGACCAAGATACTGTAGTTAAGCAAAACTATTAGCTACTGCAAGCACTGCAGCACAGAAGTATCAGCTGGCTCGTTGCACCTGCGGGAGAGATCTTTGCATCTCTTCTCTTCACTGGGTGTCTCTTAGAACAAGCTGTAGGGCCCTGTATCCTCTAGAAAGGAGGAAAAGGAGGAGTGTATTTCTCATACGAATTACATATGTTTCTCAGTTTTATTTGATAAATCTATCTTGAACAATTTGTTGATCTGAAATTCATTTTATCAGAAAGTGGTGCCATGTAATTGTTCTCTGCAAAGCAAAGATTGCCAGCTTGTTTTTTATTTCCAGGCCACCAGAGTCACTCTGATATCGCTCGGCTTTAGGTAGAGAAGTACCCTAAATTTACCAGACTTTACTATTCAATACAGCTTTATAGAATGGGAATTATTCATGCAGTTGTTTGTTAGTAAATCAGATGGCAATTTGTCAGTGTCCAGGTCTTTGTCTCCTGTAGGCCAACCATCCAAAAAAACCTCAATAGTCAATAGCAATTTTCTGAGAATGCATACAGAAACTTGCCTCACTCTTCCTGCCAGACAACAGGGAA